ATCCTCTTCGTTGGAAAGGTGAGGCGGTATAGGATTTTCTTCTGCCCGCCGAGGATGACAATGACCAGGACGAGGGCGGGTTCGAGGACGACGCGAACGCACACACACATAATGAACGCAGAGCAAGACTTGGAGAGATTGCGGTGCTCTGCAGACGGATTCGGAGGGCCGACGGAAGGAGTTGGTGATAGGCAAGTCTCGGGCGGGACGATCTCCTCGTGGGATTCTTCAGGTAACCGGACCGGCCTATGCTGCTTCGCGCCTTAGCTTCAGAGTAACAAATTCTTATCGACGGCGCCAGATGCGGTGATGCGGAGAGAAGCGTAGGAAGATGCAAGGTTACCACGTGGGAGAGAGACGTCGAGCTTGGAGACGCAGGGGTCGCAACCTAAGAGTTGGTGTGCATTGGTCGTAAGGGAGAAGGCGGCGCGGTACTGGAGGGGGGGGGCCGGGGGGCAAGCTGGCGAATTGAGCAGCGAGCACGAGAGATTTGGGGGTGAACCTGCGCAAGGGCCGCCTGCCCTGCCTTAACAATTTTAGCCACAACACTGCAAGGTGCGGTACGTACTGCACGTACCTTCCAACAATTCCGCGATACCTCCCTTTTCGGCCTCATTTCCTGCCTGAGGTGACAGGAGGTGAGTGCGGTGACATCGATAAGGTACGTATTCGGGCGAGGCATCTTATCCCCGATGATCTTCGGCTTCCTCTTCCTCCTCCTCCTCTGCAACCGTCTGCATCTGCGTAGTTTCGTGTCCATCTCCCTACCTGAACCCAGCGTCACATTTCAGCTGACAACGCTGCTGCAGTCGATCATCTGTGCCGAACGCTTGGATTTGCATTTCGCATTCTCTCCGCTGCATACACGGGCCATTGGTTCTCGCCCCTGGACTGTACGACCGGGACACCACCCAATTCTCTGGACGTGCAAACAGGAACATGGCCTTCCGCACCAACAATGACGGCCATCCCATCACTTGGTCCAGCAGACCAGACAACGAGCAGCAAGCAAGAGCGTCTGCTCTCTCAAGTAAGGAGTATGCTGCCGATCAGATCAATTGGGATTAGCCTCGGCAAGGATTATGCAGCTATCGTACGAGTGAGACACGAATTATCGATTCACACCAAGCTGACTTTGCCCACTTGCTGGCACTTGAGAGTCATGCAATTTTCACCACTACGGCATATTTGCCCTTTTCTCCCAAGTCTTCCACCTCTTAACCTCCCGGCCGCCCTCTTCGCTGGTTCATATCCCTTTGAAGATGTCTCTCCCTACGTCCAGCTAACCAATATCCTCCGTCTATTGAACTAGGTCACGCACTTCACCTGAGGGGTAACACCACACTGCTGCTCTAGCTTCGAGTCGCATGGGCTGATAAACGGCGGCCCGAGTGTTTTTGGTCTTCAACAATTAGCTCGAACTCTCCACGTTCAGAACCCCTAGATTGTTCTTCTTCAGCGATCGACACGCACATTTTCCGGACCTTCAGCTCGCGCTCGTGTCGCGGTCAGCATCACCTCTTTCTTCAACTTAAGCTACCTGTGCGACATCTCAAGTACCCTCAGCAGCAGCGACTTCAGAAGCGCTGTGTTACCACAGCTAGCGCAGGTTTGGCAACGCGCTCACCTGCGTAGGTACCACCGGCCATCACGGCGGCGGCGGCATACCGCGCTTCCGTAAACGGTGCAGGCCTGCGAGGCAATCAAGGCCGGTTTGTGCAACCAACTGCCTCAGCCTTTTTTGTTGATTTGGCTCTGTGGCTCTGTTTGTCTGTCTTTGTCGTGACTGCGAAGGGTGCTACAGATCGTTTCCCATTTGATCTGTCATGCCCCGCTGCATCGAGGATGGCGCCTGCGAGATGGCTTCAAAAGAGTTTGCTTGTTTCTGACTGAGTATAGCCATCATGACGTTGGAAAGCCACCACAGATCGGACTGCCCCCTCTCATCTCTCTCGGTAGTCGGCTGTCAAACTGCGCGGGCTGCCTATCCTGGAGGGAAGCCTCTCGGAGTTGGCTCGATCCCGGCGGCGGCGCCGCCGCGAGACTAGGAAGCCATGGCGCTCCTGATGTTGGCCTTTTAGCACGCCGTCCCCTATGCAAGCGCATAAGCAGGCAAGCAAGCTGATGTAGATTCTCAAAGCCACACTGCGAGCGAAGGATCTTGACAACCAACGGCTCTCAGGGCTCTCTATCCTTAGATCGCGATCGGACATTCGGGTCACTCTTTTCTTTATTCATGGTTGAGTCGTTCTCCTCTCTCGAAGGGCATTACATGGTAAGTCGGGGCTTGAGTAAGCTCATGGACAACAGCGCCGGGCGGATCGCTGAAGATCCGGATGCGTCCGGTGATCACGTCTTCAAGACTTGGCTAGTAACCACAATCCGGAAATCCAGTAGGTATCTATCCTCACTGGCATGAAACTCAAGCCACTTCAAACCCTTTCTAGTGGACGGGACCGATGAAGTTGACCGTTACTAATCGTCAGCATTTTCCTTTTGGGGGGACCTGCGCGGGTGGCCACTCAAGTAACGATCCTTTTGTGGCCCAATGCCAGGGTTCATTGCCATGGTTCATTGTCATGGTTTATTGCCGTAGTTAACACAAGATAAGCTGCATGACAGTCGCAGATGCCCACGAGGATCAAATAATGACCTCCTGCGTGCAGAGCGCAATAGCCGTACTACATCTATTTCCGTCCATTGTACCCAGTTGGGCGTACCTTGTAAATCGTGTGCGTCAGGTTGTCACTACAGCTTCCGGCCGGCCCCCAGAACCTCTCGGAGCCGGACCCCATCTTCTATCCACCGTCGCCGATCCCGGCTGAGTCTTCGAAACTCTTCAAGTCGGCCCATCGTTGCGAGCAACTTAACCTCAATTACGTTATCCGTATCACTCGGAACATCGACCATGGACTTGGCGGCAGCCCCCGCAGCGTCGCATCAACCCGTATTCTGGGCAGGGGCCGATGGCCTTTCTAGGAAGGCCTAAGCCTGCCGATGCTTGGCTTGGTGACCATCACCAACTCCATTGCGATAGACACCTTCCTCTTCAAGTCTTGCAGAAGATGAACATTTAAACCCGCAGCCCGCTGTCTTCAGTGCCTGCTACATTTCGGAGAACGAGCGATCTGCTGAACCGCACGACTATCGCTGCCGCCATGAGATTGAAGTCCCTGCTGACCAGCTGTGCCGGCTTGGCGACGGCATCACTAGTACTGGCCCAGGAGAAGTGCGGTTCAGAGCAGCCAGGGCCCGAAGCCTATGAAGCTGCCGTGTCTTTCCGCGCAGCCCAGCGTGCAGAAGGGCTATCAGCTTCATTCCTTCATAAGCGCGCGGAGGGCCTGCTCGTTTCGACGTATCTGCATGTTGTCGAAGACGAGGCTCATAGAGGGTTTGTCACCGATACGATGATCAGCGATCAGGTGCGGCATGAATCCAACCCCCGTACAAGGCTACAAAGTCCAGAGATTGATCTTGGGTGAAACAGATGAGGGTTCTCAACGACACCTTCCTCCCTCACAATATTCAATTTCTCGTCAAAGAAATTACCCACACCGTGAACAACGCCTGGACAACACAAGCCCGCATCAAGGAGAAAGCAGAGACACTCCGCCGAGGCGCCTACGACGACCTCAACATCTACTTCGAGACAGGCATGATGACCAACCCCAACTCCGCGACGGGAATCTGCAGCTTCCCCGTTGAGGACCCCTGGAACACGGGCATTAATGGCACATCGTGGTATACCTTCGACGGCTGCCACGTCAGTGTCGGCACGATGCCCGGCGGGCCGGGGGTGCCGTGGGACCCGGAGGATAACTTGGGCAAGACGGCGACGCACGAGGTAGGGCACTGGTTTGGGCTTTTCCATGTGTTTGAGGGGTTTGATTGTGAAGGAGAAGGTGATTTGATTGATGATACGCCGGCGACCAAGGTTGCTACTGTTGGGTGTCCGGCGAGTCAGGATTCTTGTCCTGAGAAGCCTGGGTTGGATCCCATTCATAATTATATGGATTACACGAAGCATGCATGGTAAGGATGGCTCGCTCGGAGTGCTGAGGTTTCGAGGCTAATGTCAGCAGTCTTTCGGAGTTTACTCCTTTGCAGGAGGAACGCATGTATCGATCTTTCAACACCTTAAGGCTAGGTCGATAGCGTTTGCGCATTTGACATTGGAGTATCTGCTCTGTCCCTCCACGGAGTTTGAATCGGAGCCATGAGGCAACATCGCTTATGGCCGACTTGGTGGAGGAAGTCTGTCGTTACACCTCAAAGTCGTCGGTTCCGAGACACCTTCAAACGTATCCTCCCCGACACTTTCAGCAAAAGTACTGATGTTCATCTCTGACTCCGGCATCCTGTCGCCAACAGAAGGCTTTATCGTCAATTGCCTTCGGGACGACTTCTGCGAGAACCTGCTATAGACGTCCTTCTTCTCGGCGCGAGCATCTTGTCATTATTTACACGAGTTTCAAGACATATTCCTTCTGTTTCCCGTGACTTAAGACATATTACCAACCTACGCGGAAGCGAGGTCCTTTGGCAACTGACAACAAACTCCGTCATACGAAGTTATCCCTGCGCTCCACGCCTTCGACTCCAGGTTTTGAACGGCTTATATGTCAAGTTGTCTCAGTCTTCGAGACTCGACCCACCCGAGCCAATGATCCCATAGCTATCTGAAAGTTGGCAGAAACATGCACAACTCCCATTCGTCGACTAGCAACGGCTGAGATGCAGCCATCCAGCATGGTGTGCCATTTGGTGTGATCTTGTGTTGAGCTGAACTCGTGTTCGGAGAGATTCTAGAAAATCTTACTTCATGGCAAGCCACTTACACAGATGATAACTTAGATCAGTAGAGCGTGGGAGGTCTTCATAGTATCCTAGAAAATTATAAAGTCGTGCTATGAGATGGAGGATTAAGGATTAGAACAAAGTCTCTGCAAGTTTTTTATCCAATCTGATTCAACTCGTTCAACCTTCTCATCTCGTCAATCATGATGTTTGTCTCGACTACAGTCTCGATCTTTGTCGGCATGCTCGCCATCGGGACCACAGCGACCACTACCCTCGCAAGATGCAACGCGGACAAGTACTCCTCCAAACCTCCTCTCATCCGTCACGATGACTAACACGATGAAGCTGCTACCGCGCCCTCTTCCCATGCCCCTCCCCGTCCGCAGTCTCCTCCGCCTCCGCCTTCTGCGTAACCCTCACAGCAGACGGCACAACCGCAACAAACTTCCCCGCCCGCGCAACCTCCGCCTGCGGCACCTCCGCATCCCGCTACATCTCCGCCTGCGCCTGCGGCCCCACCTGCACTCCCTCCCCGACGCCCCCGTGCGGCAGCCCCTCCGGCACAAACCTCCTGACCAACGGCGACTTCGAATGCGGCATCAGCCCCTGGATCGTCCAGAACCTAGACCAAAACGCCCGCGTCGGCGTCACCTCGGCAGCATCCCACACGGGAACGCATTCGTTCGAGTCCCGATTGCTGTATGATCGGAACTCGCAGGACCCGGTCGTCAGCGCGCGGCTTTCGACGCCTGTGTTTTCCGTGCAGCCGGGTGTGCCGTGCAGGTTGAGGTTCTGGTCGTATTTTGATAATCAGGCGGCGGGGTTCATCGGGATCCAGTTTAATGGCGAACCGAAGAGGACGCTAGATGCTGGTGATGCGGGCGGGTGGGGGATTTGGAAGGTGTTTGAGGTGGAGTATACGCCGGTGACGGATAAGCTTGATATCACACTCGAGTTTTTGTATGGGCGGGTTGCAAGTGTTGTGAGGGTTGATGGGGTTGAGTTTGGGTATCTTCATTAGAGGTGGTGTCGATTCCGCAAGTTGCTTGGGTGATGGTGTCGACGTAGGTTCAGAGGCTACGTACGCCGATCTTTCACAGCTTGCGCGGCAATCATCTTGATGCTAAGCTTTTCCATCTGACTTGGCTTTTCCTACAGTGCTTGGCGTGCGGGTAACGGCAATCCTGGAATGCAATGTGCCTTTAAGGCAAGTTGGACGTCAACGTGTGGAGGCCATTACGTTCCATAGCTGCTTGATGAGGATTCATGCATATATCGTTGATTGCTGCCAAGGATCTGATTGGATGAAATGTTCGAAGTAACGGTGACGAGGGAAGGTGAGTCGTGGGCATCGCGGTGATGCATCGACATATATGCATATCGTCTTCTAGCCACGGCCCGGTCCGAGAGATTAGTTCGCATAGAGATGACATGCGGGAACTTCTGTACTTCTCACGCATGCTAGGGCCGACGGAGGATAGTGTTTATCGTGAGGTTCAAGACGAAAGTTCCGGGTCCATACATGATCGACGTGATAAGAGACCCGCATCGCGCTATGTTTTGTCTGCAAGTGGGTGGGGATGACTTCCAGATTCGCCGATGGTGCACTCGAACGCCATGTAACTCCGAACCGGGCAACTCCCCTCGACCTATCAACTCCAGCCATTTTAGTGGCAGCTTGAATACGTGTAAACGTTCTGAATGACTCAGCATCTCGAGGGATTAGGACCAGACAGTGGCATACACAAACTGCCCGGATCACAGCCGAGGACATTGCTACCGTAGTCACGTCTTACCTGCCACTTCGAAACTTGCTAGACGCTGCTCGGTCGAAAGTAGCAGACACCCACATGCACATGGACGAAAGCGGCCGTGGACAAACTGTTCCCTGAACCAATAATAGCCGTGACAACTTCTAGATCTTTAATCTTGTCTAATTCGACGCAATGAGACCATTACAGCCTCCCGGTTGTCTTCTCAGCCACTCAAGTTTCGCAGCAATTCCGCAATAGTACCTAAGGTGGCCTTGGTCGTCACCTCTGAAGGGACTCGTTGTGAAATAATGGAAAGGTTCGTCTTAATACTTTTCTACGCCTTAATTACTTGAATAATTATTCAGAATCACATGCTGGACCTCTGGTGTCTAGAGTTTTAAATCTACCTCATGACAACATTCTGTCGGCATATCCAAATTCTGGTTTGTTCGGCACACTATCACCGCCGACTCAGAACAGGACAAAGATCCCATTGGGAACATGAAAATCCGTTGTCAAGCTAGCCATCTTGGCGTCGGAAAAGGCCAAGAATGCAAGCTACCACAATGATAGCAGTCCACAACCCTTGTGATAGTGATAGCCAGGCCCGTCTTTTACACGTAGATGGTTCAGGTTGCTTACATTGATGACGCTTAACTCCGGCGTTAGTGCCATTAAGCTTCCAGGAATCCGCAGTCCTGGGTCCAGAACCGCCAAGACAGTGTTGAGATCTCTAATGCAGATATGAGCGGCGAATGAAGTGCCAAATGAGCATTGACGCGCGGCCACGATAGGATCAAATGGTATGGCCCTCACATCTGCCCGATAATGTTGTCACTTGGTAAAACACTATGGAACTACCATTCTCGTCAATGCAGCACTGCATAATCGTGAGCTTCATCAGATACGATGCTGATCTAGAGGATTTCGAGACTGATTTGAATATCCTCTCGGGATCCACTTCGAAACAAGACGGAAATATGACAAGCATCAACAAAGCTGACGGGGACCGGGTGCTATGATAGAGAATAAAATGATGGGCGAATAAGAAAGCAATGGTGCTTTTCCGTCTCCACGTCTTTGATTTCACATCTCTCAAAGGAGCCCACATACTGGTCAGCAACGCGATTCCCCACCGTCTTGATGGAAATGCAACGACAAGCAATCAAGCCAACCGGCTCTCTTCAACCTCGCGCATGCGGATGTCGCGCAATCCATCATTCCAATGAACGCACAGGGAATACAACCCCCCGGCTGTAATCCCACCAACGGCAAAGCCATGTCTCGCCCATGTCTTGCCACCTATCCCAGCCAGCTTTCTCCAATACCGTCGACCTGCGCTCGAACCAGCCTCCTGCAATGTGACTCTGGCGAATGCTGGCAAGAGCAGCACGTTGGCCCCTGCGGACATGACGGATACCACCACACGGATAAGGTATTGGCATCTGATCAATAATCCGTCTTGCAGTCCGACATTTCCGACTGGCAATGGCACCATTTCCCCGCACTCTGCGGCTGCCAAGTCTGGGGTTAGTGTGAGTTTGGGGTGGGTTTTTTGGGTCTGGGGTAAGAGCCGGATGATCCCAGCCTTTCTCCGCAGTGGGCTTTATCTGTCCCCTTTGTATTAAGAGGTGGTCCTGGTCAGATATAAGTATCCGTGGGCAGAAATCTTCATCCGTGACTTTTCTCGAGACGAAGAGGTTCAGAGCTGGGAAAGGCAACCTTTCCATCATCTCAAGTCGCAGAGCGTCTGTCGTCCTTGCTCCTGTTTCCTTCTCACCTTCGAACCGTCCAGACACCAGAGCCTCCCGTCAAAATGGCCACCCACAGGAGCTCCATCGAGAAGAACGATGCCGTTTTTGAACACAGACCTTCTGGAGAGGCTCATCTCGAAAAGGTGCCTGAAGCCATCGAAGTTGGTCCCTACCGCGTGTATGGATTGTCCACTGAAGATGCCGATTTCTTCAACAACTACCCCGAAGAGAAGAGGAAGAAGACTTTCCATAAGGTGGGTATTGGAAACGCTTAACCATCACGACCACACCGACTGATAGGCGAGAATAGGTTGACGTTCGTCTGATTCCCATGCTGGCTCTGCTTTACTTGATCTGCCACATCGATCGCGCCAATATCGGTAACGCCAAGATTGAAGGCATGGTTGAGGACCTAGGCATGACTGGTGTGCAGTACAACACTGTGCTATCTATCTGTGAGTGCCATAATCAGCATCTTAACATTCGATCTGAGAAGGAAATTCGCTAACCAGCCCTAACCAGTCTTCATCCCCTATGTCCTCTTCGAAGTTCCTAGCAACATCATCCTCAAGAAAGTCAAGCGTCCTTCGTTCTACCTCGGCACTCTTACCCTCTGCTGGGGTATCATCATGACCTGCACGGGACTGGTTCGTAACTTTGGTGGATTGATGGTAACTCGCATTCTTCTCGGCGTCTTTGAGTATGTTTCGCAACGTTTGGGGTCGTTTGAGTACTCTGGCTGACATCTGCAGGGCTGGTTTCTTCCCCGGTGCAATTTACCTGACTTCTTACTGGTACATGGTGAGTATCCAGACTGCAACAGCCCCTTGACGGATGAGCTAACGAACATCCCTAGCCCAAAGATCTCGCGGTCCGAATTTCGTACTTCTACTGCGCCAGCGCCTTGTCAGGAGCCTTCTCCGGTCTCCTCGCCGCCGCCATCGCTGAAATGGACGGTGTCGCCGGCCTCGAAGGCTGGCGTTGGATCTTCATCCTCGAGGGTCTCGCCACCGTCGTCATGGGTGCCTGCTGCTTCTTCTTCCTGATCGACACCCCGACCCTCTCAAAGCGCTGGCTCGAGCCCGAGGAGATCCGATACCTGGAGCTCTCCATCTTCATCAAGTCGGGCGGCGGTGGTCGCGAGGAGGCCGGCGCCGGCGGCAAGGTCAACTGGAGAGATCTCAAGATGAACTTGACCAACTGGAGGATCTACGTCCAGGCGTACTTTTTGGTGTGCCAGTCGGCTCTGTCGTACGGTATCAAGTTCACCCTGCCCACCATCACCAAGGCTATGGGATTCGCGAATACACAGGCCCAGCTTCTCTCTGCGCCGCCTTACGTTGCTGCCGCCATTTCGGCCATTACCTTCGCCAAGATTTCTGATCGGTTCTTCTGGCGTATGCCCTTCTTGGCGATCCCTCTCGCCATCGTCGCTATTGCGTACGCCATCATTCTCTCCCTAAACGGAGCGCTCGAGGCGAAGAAGGGAGTCGCCTACTTCTCCGTCGTCCTTGCAGTAGTCGGCATCTATCCCATTCAAGCCGCGGCCGCGTCGTGGAACGCCAACAATATCGCCCCGGCCTCCCGAAGAGCGATTGGTATCGCGCTGATGAACTGCGTGGGTAACGTCGGTGGCATTGTGGGTAGTTTCATGTACCTTGAGAGCGAGAAGCCCAAGTACCCTACCGGCTTTGGCTTGAGTTTGGCCTTTGGTGGATCTGGACTGATCGTGGCTCTCTTGCTCGAGTGGAGTTACAAGTCGGCCAACGCACGCAAGGCTGCGATCGCGGAGGAGGCGAAGACGAAGTACACTGAGGAGGAGTTGTTCAACTTGGGAGATAGGTCGCCCTTGTTCAAGTATGTGCTTTGAGGACGGAGAAGGGTACTGTTACTGCACCTGCCCCGACTTCAAAGAGTCGGCTTGTTTGAAGCGTTTTAGTTAGGATCACGAACGAAGCGAATCTTGCAATGAAGTTCCCAAGTTGAAGACGACCATTCGTTTGATCAAGGCTTCTTCTTTCAGTTGACTGTAAACCTACACATCACTAATGGTAAAAGCATCGACTCACTATAAGTACAACAGCCGATCAATGCAAGGCAGTGTATTACCATATTGTCATGATTGTATCGGGATCTTATCTTATCGCCGAACCCGCATCATCTTCCGACTTTTCGGGATTTGAACGGCACGGCCCGGGAGTCGGTCCCGGCGGAGGCCTAAAGCCCGGAGAGCGGCCGGTGATACGGGGGAAAGCTCCAACGGAAAGACGAAAGTCTATTGACCCCACGTGGGCGCATAAAGAGCGGCCAAGATCAATGGAAATATGCAGAAAACGCTGTGCAACTGTTTGTCGGCGCTCTACCCCATAGTCAGCCAGATTACCGAAGCCACACGCGCCATCTCAGTTGTTTGTCTCTAGAAGTCTCAAGACACAGCAGCGGCATCGCCGATGAAGACTCACGGAGGCAGGGAGAGGCTAAATATAAGTGAATTGATATTCTAAACCACACCC